ATCAGTGACACCTCTCCATTTTCTGCAACTCTGTGTGCCATCTGCTTGTATGTCAACCAGATCCATGAAACAAAAGATGTGAATGAAAAAATAGTTCCTTTAGAGCCCTGCCTTACTGAGCACCATAAAGGTGGTAGAAAAATAACTAGATGTTCAGGTAATTAGACTGTGTCCTTCTTCAGAACCACAGGTGGAGTGGAGTGAAGATTTAATATACTGGCATTCCTGACTTGGGTATTTAAGAATCCAACTTCCGCCTGGTTTTCCTTTATATGGCCATCCTGTCCTATTGCAAGTTTCTACAACCTTATAAACTATATATTCTATGCACATAAATTTCAACTTTTACTTTAGTCAAGCAAGTTACTAGGATTAATATAATAATGGGATGAAATTATAAAGGTCAAACTACATGATCTAATGGTCATTTTTTACCTTAAACTCAATGACTCTATATTGTTCCAGTCAATGTGCATTGAGTGAGTCATGACTCTTGCACACACTAGATAATCAGGTCAGAGTCAGGGTTTTTGCATCGGAGCATTGCCTCATTTGGTGTGCACGTTCCCTATACTGCTAAGATAGCTGGACTTGCACACTGCAATATTCTTTTGCTTAGAACATGGATTAAATGCTGTTAAATCATAACTATACCCCTGAGCATGCACCGTGAGACCTTCGTATCTTCCTAACATGGTCAAATCAACACAGAATTCAAAGGCACTTCGCTGGGTCACTGTTTTCCAGCCACCTGCACTTTCTACTCCTACCCATTCTGGTGATACATTTGTGTGGCTGGTTTTGGTAATGGCTGAACTGTTTAATTTTTTTAAATCTTGAACGTAAATATCAGCTGGAGGAAGTTTTCAGCCTCCAAGGTGAGTGTTTCCATTATATCCATTGTCAGTCACTCCAAAAATTGACAAGAGCGCTACCAGCAGCTGTAATCCAGTGTGACGAAGTTCTCCTAATGCTTATAATACATCTTTTCCTTTCTTTTTTTAAATGCTGGGAGCCATATTCTCAGTATTCTGCATGCTTTATTACTCATCCCATAATGTTACTATGCAACTTATGGGCAGTGGCATCTGCCACCCAGCATGTTCTCAGCTCATGGAGTGTCTTCCAGAAAAGGGAGGTAGCTGCAATATAAGCAGAGAAACCTGTCGAATAAGCAGTTATGCACAATGTGAAGGCAGTACCAACAGTGAGGGGTGGAGAAGCAGAATGCTGCTGCTGCCCCTAGAAAATACCAACGAAGACAGATCTGGACATGGCAAATGTAGGCTGCTATCAAATAAGCTGCAGCCAGTTACAACCTAGAGGGGCATACAATTGCCTTTCCATAAGTAACACAAGGGGTCAATGGCCTTTGCTAGGAGAAGGAACCCTACACTTAAACCTACATCCACATTTGCTGCCCTGTTTATTGCATGTGGGTTGTGGGGATGAAAGAGTGGGCCTGGAACTGCACACACTTTTCTCAATATAGTCCAGTCACAATACAGGTGAGTCAGCAACACAGTACCCACTGCAGCCTGTTAAATCAGCATCTTGTGGCAATGGGGATTGGAAGTCCTTAGTCACAATCCTGCATGCAGACAGCCTGGGCAGGACAGCCATTTGTTCTAGACTAAAGCAGGGGTCCTGCTTGTATTCTGCCTTGGTGTCAGAGCAGCCTTGTCGAGGGGACAGCACTGCTTTCTTCGTAGAGGGAAGGGAAGAAGATCCCTGGAAAAAATGCTTACTCTACTCAAACCTGCTGGAGTGCTGTGCCTATCCAGTTCTTCTGCTGTTTAAATACAGGGAAAACCCAGATAAATTTTGCAACTCAGACTGTTCACGCCCTCCTGGACAGAGGCGGGAGCCCTGAGCAAGGGGCCGCTATACTCACAGTACATTGGCATGGTACAGTATGGATATTGCTGTACTCAGTGAGACGAGACTTCCTGGCAAATTGCAGCGAGAAGAAGAAAATGCTGGTTACGCTTTTTACTGGAATGGCAAATCTGAGGAGGAACCCAGATGCTCTCCTCTTTGCTTGCAAACTTGAGACACTGCCAAAGTGTGTTAATGCCAGACTTCAAGTATGAGGGGGTAGCCGTGTTAGTCTGTATCCACAAAAACAACCAGGAATCTAGTGGCACCTCTAAAGCCTAACATTTATTTGGGCATAAGCTTTCGTGGGTAAAAAAAACCACTTCTGCAACTGCCTCAGAAGCCCAAATAAATGTTAGGCTTTAAGGTGCCACCCAATGCCAGCCTTGTGCTCCTCATTAGCCTAGCTAACATATGTTATACTTCTGGCATCGGGACACATGCACTGACAACGATCCATCCAGCAGAGGATAAGGACGATGTCTATTAAACCCTTGATAGGTAGCAGGTCGGTCCTGTGTAATGAACTGATCATTTTGGGCTATTTTAATGCCGGGATGGGTTGTGACTATGCATCTTAGGGCAACGTGGAGAGGAAGGAACGCTGCCCCTGCCCGCTCCATGGCACCAGCTGCACTGCCTGGTTTCAGCTTCCTGCCTCTGAGCTGGGGTGGGGAGATGTGGGGGGTGGAGCTGTCCCCAGGACCACCGTGCTCTTGTGCTGGAGGTTGGGGGCAATGCCCTCCATGTCCCTAACTCTGCCCATGTGCTCAGGGCTTCTGCCCCACAGGGAGCACCAGGGCTCTGGGATTCAGCCCTGCAGGGGGGAGGGCAGCATGCCCAGGATCCGGGCTTCAGCTGTGGGGCCACCTGGGGACCAGACCCGCAGTTGAGAACCACTGCTCTAGAGGTACTCAGTTGCCAAATAAAGTGACTGTGATCCCCTATTTGCCTCTGATGTCACTAAGTATTTTTCTCTTGGTTGGTTGTATGGATAAAGCATTTAACACTGTAAATCTTTTGCATTTCTCTGCTCTTCTTAAATTAGTGTTGCCTGAAAGTTTTATATACTCTCAAACTTCAGCCAGCCCCAGCTCTGTGGAAGAAGTGGTAGTAAAATCAATGTACATGTTATCAATTTTGATGAAAAAACAGGACACTTTGTTTTAAAGCAGTTCCGCTACGGTTAAACATGGAGTCCTGCAGCACCCCGCTCCTTAAACTTTTCATGGTCATCCAAGTTCAACAGTGTGATTGACTACTAGTGGCTCTTTAGTCAGCTGGACTGTGAGCCAATTTGGCCACACCTTCAAACGCTAAAGGTATGCTTCCCCAGTTCAGTAGATCAAGGCTACAGGCAGAAGGTAATATTTCCAACTGGCAGTCGATTTAGCAAGTCTAGAGAAGACCCACCAAATCGACAGCAGATTGCTCTCCCTTTGACCCCTGTACTCTACCCCTGACAAGAAGAGTAAAGTAAGTCAATGGGAGACTTTCTCCTGTCGACACCCTGCTGTGTAGACCCTGCAGTAACTAGACCTAAGGTACGTTGGCTCCAGTTATGTTATTCGTTGCACAGCGTAGGTCGACTTACTACAGTAGTGTAGACGGAGCCTAAGTTAACTCCATACAGTTTAACTGTGTTTAACCTTAAGTTATCAAGTCATAGATGACTGGCACAGCTAAAGGTGCAGTAGGAAGAGGTAACTTCAACAACTGCTGGTTTTGCTACCATCAGTCTGCCAGGGTTCAGAATGTAGCCTCTGATACAGAGCGAACAGTACTTTGGAAAGCTCGTACCCGTCAGCGCAAGATGCGTGAGCTGGATTTCTCCCAGTAAATGCATTATCCAACATGTAATAGACCAAAGCCTTTAACTGTCTTAAATCAATATAAGGTAGGCCTATAACAGCTCCCTACATGTTCTTGTACACGTTTTCTTACGAACTTACCAGTTATTTTTAATTGGGAAGCAATGAGGCCAGGAACCATCTCACTCTAATAAGGACCTGAATGGACTAGGTCCCGTAGATCAGTGGCTCTCAAGACTCTTGAAGGGGTACAGTCATTTGGAAAGGTTGATTTGTCTTGTGTAGCCCCGAGTTTCAATTCACTTAAAAACAACTTGCTTACAAAAATCAGACATAAAAATACAGAAGTGTCACAGCACACTATTCCTGAACAATGGCTGACACACATTTTTACCATATAAAATTATAAAACTGATCAATTGGGATAGAAATACGGTACTTACATTCCAGTGTATAGTCTATAGAGCAGTATGAACAAGTCATTGTACAAAATTTTAGTTTGTACTGATTTCGCTAGTGCTTTTTATGTAGCCTGTTATACAACTAGGCACATCTCTAGATGAGATGATGTACCCCCTGGAAGACCCCTGCATACTGTAATGTACTTTAAACTAGATAAAGTTCAACATCTGATTAAAGTTGTGAAGAACAGGAAAATCCACATTAACCTGGTGTCGCATAAACCAGCTGTCACTTCTGCTAGGAAGCTGGAGTCTTAATCACAAAGGCTTGAAAGTCACTTCCTTATTTAAATGTCCACTAGCACTTTCTGAACTTCATAAGGTTAAAGCAAGGAAGAGAGAGGCTGTGTGTTTTTGCACTGCTGCTAGCTTTCTCAGCAATAACGTATTCATTTTAAACTTGGCTGGTAGCAAAAATACATTTACATACTGTACCATCTCCCAACAGTTAGGTGTGCTTCTGTCACATTCAGCAAAGGGTTGGACTGTTTAGCTCAGGTTTAGGACCCCCAGGTGGAATAAACAGGAGTTCTCCAGCTCCAGGACTGGTAAAGTTCAAGTGATTGATAGTCTCTAATTAGCTACTATTAGTATTACTGGGCTTCTTTATTTTGTAGTCTCTCCTTACAGAGCTCAGGAATGGTCGTTCTGAAGAAAGTTTGGTCTGCATCCAATATCCTTATTTAAATCACTCGGAGAAAAGAGACCATGATCTTTAACAGATATTTTAAAAAGGTGATCTCCAGATGAGGGAAGGCAAAAACGATCAGGTTGGATCTAGACAATTTTAAGGAAGTACACACACAGCTGGTATAAACCTCAATGTGAAACACATTAAGGACAAGGAAAATATGGCAGTCTGTTTATTTTAGATTAAACAATGCTTTTTTAAAAAAAATAAATAAAACCTAGACATCACCAAGAAAACAATATATTAGAGTACTATTGATTACATTAAACAGAACCCTCACCACAACTTAAAGTAGTCCTCAGCTGAAAAGAGAACAGTTTCTAAGGCCTAATTGTTCAAAAACAAGAAGAGATTGTTCTGTAGTAACCTTTATTACTCAAAATACCCTATTCATAACTGTAGTTTTTGTCACTCTCCTACCATATGTTACCATTGAAACAAGGGTTTTATTGCCATCAGTGGCAAGAATTGCTAAAATCATTTACCCAATGTTAAGAGCAGACAGGACAATCCAAAGCAGCTTCAAGCTTTTGGTACCAGGATTTGGGATTTCTTTGCTAATCAGCAATTAAATTTGTGTAAGCAGTTACCATCAAAGAAGAATGTATATCTGGCCCAGTAGAATTAAGTGTGGCAAGTAATAAGTCAAATGTGTTCACTAACTTGGAGCACATCACTGATACAGAAGGTGTTAACTCTTGTTCTCAAATGACATTAATCTAAATAGAACAGAAATACGGAAAGCCTTACTCAAGATGAGAAAAATATTTTGCACTTTAAACAACTTTAGAATTTCCTTGCTCTGTGCACAAGCCACAAGTTTGTAAGTGACTGCTTTGAATCTTTCCAATATATCAGCTAAAGTGCAGGTCCTGAATATGTAGTCTGTATTCAGTTGATATTTTAAAATATAAATGAAGTATGGCCAATAAATGTCTACTATAGCCACATTATACCCTCCAACTATAATCTGTTCAATCTAATTTTTGGAAGCTAATGGCTATGAAACTTTTAGGTACATTAATGTCAATAGCACTGAAGTCTACGTTTTAAGGTTAGAAATAAAACAAGTTCCTTTTCTGCCTTACTACTGCTGCGTAATAGGGTGTGTTCCCCACACAGATTACATTTTCCTTCAATGAAGTACAGAGAGAAGCTCAACCCCCACATTACCTGCCCTTTGGCTACCAAGAAGCGCAGAACTTTAGAAAAATACAAGGCAAGAAAAATTTTGTGATTAAAAATATATACCTTTTGTTAAAAACCATACCCTTTATAACCCAGCTAAGAACAAAAAAACAAAACAAAAAAAAAGCTTCACTTAGGCTGAACAGTAGTAAAATTAGTACCAACCACTCATCACCCCCCGAGACCTTTGAAAATGTCATTCAAATTGCAATTTTTACACATCTGTTGTCCGGTATCTACAGGGCTCATTACATTTGCAGCAACAAACTATTTAAATTTTCCATGAAGAGAATGAGTTTGTATCACAATGTCCTCCACCAATAGTCTTTACAAAAGAAAAGCTGGAAGTTCTTAATTAAAGAATTTTTGACACATGTAGTTTTCTTCAGATACTGAATATCCAAACTTTTTATAGAAAGCCACATTTTTGGGCAGACACTCGAGAGTAATTTTATAACAGTTCAGTCTCTTACTTAGCAACGTAAGCGTAGACATTAATCTGAAAGAGACAGAGAACACGAATGGTTATATAAAATGGCATTGGATCAATTAAAGTTCAATTCTTCAGCATGAATGCAAACATTTCATTACTACTATTAGATGATACCTCTCTGTGCAGTAGAAGCTTAAACTGCAGTGATAGAAGCCGTTCAGTTTTCTACCTGAAATATTACTTCAACTTTTACTTGGAGAAAAAAATTCATTTTGAGTTTGTTGCAGCGGCATGAAGGAAGCACAGCACCCTTTCTTACAGTAGATCATGAAATGCCATTGTGTAAAATGATTCACATGAATTAAAACAGATTAGCTAACTTCCCATGGAGAATGCAGAAGCATCTATTAAAGGGCAGTTCATTTCAGCTGTTAGGTAGGTACTTGCAATTCATTAGTCAAACATGCCCTCGAGCACAATGTGACTTGAGGGGTGTGCCCATGTCCGCATGCACACGCAGAGGAGTGATTTGTTATGGCTTGAGCCTAGTTATTGATCCGTACATGTTCATCGAAGCAACTATAGCATGTGTGTTAACAGATGCTAGAAACTGGATGGGATATACGGGGTTCCTGACCTGTATGGTGTTACAAGGTAAAGACTGTGAAGAAATACTTACAGTTTGCCAAGCTGCTTTCCTCTGCATTCGTCACTTACTACAACATCTTCTACCCTTCCTCTCTGAGGAAATATATGTGTGTGTGTTCAGTTTACTATAGCACCTTTAAGTCATTTTTCAGTTAAATTAACAAGTGAATCTCTACCATTGCATCATATTTTGACAGGCAAGGAAAACAGATCTTAAAATAACAGGTTTCAGAGTAGCAGCCGTGTTAGTCTGTATCCGCAAAAAGAAAAGGAGGACTTGTGGCACCTTAGAGACTAACCAATTTATTTGAGCATGAGCTTTCGTGAGCTACAGCTCACTTCATCGGATGCCGTAGCTCACGAAAGCTTATGCTCAAATAAATTTGTAAGTCTCTAAGGTGCCACAAGTACTCCTTTTCTTTTTACAGATCTTAAAATGTCTTTGTAGCTTACATTAAGAGTATACTAATCTTATTCAGTTTGACAGTAAACTGTATTTACTATTTTTGAAAAACAGTTAGTTTAATGTAATTTTTTTCTCTATAATTACAGTCTGGAATGCACAAACACACCTTTGCACATGAATGAGTAAATTTATGTTCTATAACCAGTGTTGCTGTAGCAACAATCTGTCCCAGATTTGTATCTTCCACAACAGTCACATAGTAATCACCGGATCTCTTCATGTGTTCGAAGGTTTCTGTGGGAACAGGAGAATAGTAAGATAGACACATTTTATTAATGGATTAGAACTAACAGCCACATGAACTTATTTCGAAGGATAAATTCTAATTCATAGCACTGAAGAATTCAACGCCACAACCCAAGAGGCGATCAAGAAATTAGAAACGGACAAAACTCAACAGTCAAAAAGGATCTGTTTCAAATTAGGATGCAAATGGCTAAAAAAGAGTAGACAATACAAATTCTTGTGTTCTGAGATGCAGGGAGAAGACCCTTCCCTTGCTGCTAGCATCACAGACCCGCTAAGATCAAGGTAGATCACTCTTCCTCACAGTGACAGACTTTAGCTTGAAGCCCTATTAGTTTTTGTAAGCAGACCAATGAAAAAAGGGCAACAGGATGACCTGGGTAATTATAGGCCTGTCAGCCTGACACTGATCACAGGCAAGATAATGGAACAGCTGGTATGGGACTCAGTGAAGAATTAAAGGAGGGTAATGTAATTAATGCAAATCAACACAGGTTTATGGAAAACAGATCCTAATTCAGGCCTTGTCTAGACTGGCAAGTTTCTGCGCAGTAAAGCCGCTTTCTGCAGTGTAACTCCCAAGGTGTACACCCTGCCAAGCCGCTCTGGGCGCAGAAACTCCTCAGTTGCAGCGCTGCAAAAAAATCCCACCTCGACGAGAGTTGGAAGCCTTACAGTGCAGAGGCTCCAGCGCCGTATTGGCAGTGTAAACACATTACAGCGCAGAAAGCAATCAGCTGGCCTCCGGAAGGGTCCCATTACCCCTCAAGTGGCCGGTCTGCTCATGGTTTTGAACCATGGCTGGCTGCCCCGCCCCTTTCAAAGCTGACAGCCCTTGCGTCCTGTGCTGATCTGCTCCGGGACACAAAGCAAACCATTAATGTGGAATGCTTGTGCTGTTGAGGGTGTGTGTGTGAGACACACTCTGTTCCCCAAAACACACACACTCTCTCTCTCCCCCTCTCCATACACACACATTCCCTGTCATACACTCTGCCCCACCCTCCGCTTCAGTTGAAAAGCAGCTGGGAATCTAGTAGGATGCCCACGGAACAATGGGATTGAGAAATCGGCATCATGGGACGCTGTGCCTTCCCCGTGAGGCATTGCAAGCCCTTCCCGAGGCATCCTGCGGCCAGTTGCACAGTGGGATAGCTACCACAATGCACTGCTCTCTTTGCCACTGCAAGAGCGGCTAAAGTGGATGCGCTCCAGCGTCACAAGGAGCACAGTGTGGACACGCAACGGCAGTTTAATTCCAGCGCTTTAATAAAAGTGGATACACTTGTTGCGCAGAAACTTGCCAGTGTAGACATACCCTTTCTTGGTCTCTCTTTTAATGAGATTACAAGTTCGGTAGATAAAGGTAATAGTGTTGACATAATATACTCAGATATTAAATGGATTAAACACAGGCTAACTGATAAGTCTCAGAATGTGATTTGGGCTGGGTTCTTGGCCCTACACTAGTTAACATTTTTATCAGTGACCTGATAAAGTTTCAAGATGACACAAAAATTGGAAGTGGTAAACAATGAAGAGGACAGGTCACTGATTCAGAGCAATCTGGATCACTCGGTAGGCTGGACTCAAGCAAATGATATACATTCTAATACAGCTAAATGTAAATGTATACCAAAGAATGTAGGTCATACTTCCAGGATGGGGGACTCTATCCTAGGAAGCAGTGACTCTGAAAAAGTTTTGGGGGGTCATGGTGGATAATCAGTGGAACATGAGCTCCCAGTGTGATGCTGTGGACAAAAGAGCCAATCCCGGGATGCATAAATGGGAACTCGAGTAGAAGCAAAGAGGTTATTTTACCTCTGTATTTGGAACTGATGCGACTGCTGCTGGAATAGTGTGTTCTGGTACCCAAAATTCAAGAAGGATGTTGATAAATTGGAGAGGGTTTAGAAAAGAGCCACAAGAATAATTAATGGATTAGAAAACATGCCTTATGGTGATAGACTCAAAGAGCTTGACCTAATTAGCTTAACAAAGAGAAGGTTAAGAGGTGACATGATCAGTCTAAAAATATCTATAGTATGTGGGAAATAAATATTTAATAATGGACTCCTCAGTCTAGCAGAGAAAGGTATAACACGGTCCAATGGCTGGCAGTTGAAGTTAGACAAATTCTGACTGGAAATAATGGTGAGTGTAATTAACCATTGGAACAACTCACCAAGGGTCGTGATGGAGGCTGGCCAGGTGAGACCCACTTCCGGGAACCTCCTCCAGCTGCAGAAAGCTCCGCATCCCCGCACTGCTTCCTGCTCCCATCACTTCCCAACCACGGGGGGAGGGCTCATTGCGCAGGGATCAGCTGCAGTGCTTCTTGCAGCCAGGGGGAAGTTCCCAGAGGTGGATCTAACCCAGCCCAGATAGCGGCCTCTGTAGCAGAAGAGGAAGTCCTGTTCTGTCCCTCCCCAGCCCCACCAGGACAGCATTGGAACCAGGGGACTCAGGAGGCCATGTCCCTCTGACTTTTTAACAAGGGCATAGTTTGGGGGGCTAGGAGGTAGAGTTGCCCTCACAGACTGCAAGCCTTGGGTAAGAGCTGCACTTCATGGTGGGGGACCTGATCACGGTTATCAGCTCCCACACCATGAAACAGTACCGCCTCCTGGCCCCTCAAACTACGCCCATGTTAAAAAGTGAGGGTGTGTGGCTCCATGCCCCCGAATCCAGTGCCCCCTCCTCCCCACCGCACTTCTACAAAGGTTCTGGCACCTTGCCCCCACCCCTGCCCATCCCCGGCTCCAGGCCCAGTGTTTGGAGGTTAAAGAGGCCTTGGGCTGGGGGGGAAGCGGGGGGCAGGCGTGTGTGTGGAACCACAGTGCCCCCCGACCATGGGGCCCTGGGTGGTCATTCACTGTAAGGCTGGCCCTACCCCTGCTCAGAAAGTGATGACATCCCCCCATACCATGAGACCCTCATGTTTGCGCTTCCAGCTGCCCAGCTCTGAAGGCAGCACCTCCATCAGCAACAGCACAGGAGATACCATGACCCCCCCACAACCCTCTTTTGGGCCAGGACCCTCATGGTTATAACACTGTGAAATTTCAGATGTAAATATCTGAAACCATGAAATTGACAATTTAAAAAATCCTATGACTGTGAAATTGACTAAAATGGACAATGAATTTGGTAGGGCCCTAGTCACACAGGAGGTCAGACTAGGAGATCACAATGGTTCCTTCTGGCCTTGGAATCTGTGAAACAAGCTCACTGCCTCAACAGGAGCGAAGACAAGCCCCAACTTCAAACTGCAAGTGGTGATGGACAGACCATAACAAGACACGTTCTCTCTAAAACTCTACCTGAACACAAAGAACTAGAATTTGCCCCATTTGTGCGCGTGAACTCTGAAGTCACCTGGGACAGGCGAATGAATGTCACAGTGACCATGAGATCCTAAACCACCTCAAAATGCTGAAATCTGCCTGGAGAGGCCTGGGCTAACAAACTCGCCTGTGGCATCATCCAGCTACAGAAGTCAAGAGGTTCATTCATGATCAGATATGCTGTCAACATTAATAACTTCCTGTTCCCACCCTTCCCCTTTTCAAATGCCAAAATAACGAATAATGTACTCACTGATAAACTGTTCAGGGCTGACAACTCCAGCTTCTGTCAGCTGACCCAGAACCTTAAAAAAGCCTGTTGCAGAAAAGTACAACAACAAAAAAGTTTAATACCAGATAAAGATCAGCAATTAACTAGCCCAAAGAATATGGTTCCAGCATTTCAGGTACAAATTCTAATCTGTAAGTCTGTGCACACAATTGTGCAAGCAAAAACAGCACTTTACACCATATAGTTGTACCCACGCAGAGGAGACAATGTGACACCTGAATGATTACTGAAACAGCTCCTAGAACGCCCCCCTGTATTCCCTCAAGATATGTAACACATACCACACAAAAGCAACATTGACGTGTTCCAAGTAAAGTGAAGTTTTTAAGTACGTTGAGATTCATGATGTGAAGGGAATCGACTTCTCCATATACCACCTACCGTCTAGTTTAGTTACATGTAAAGAACTCCACATACTCCATACGTATACTGACAGAATTCTATATCCTGAAAGTGAATTCAACATTAATTTTGAACTCACGCCATAAGCAATGTTAAATGATTGTCTAATGCTGTAACAATGAAGTGTTTTGAAAGCAGACAAGAGATGTGAATCAAAGCAAAGACAGAATGCTAAGAAACTATGGGTACGACCCTAAAGCCTTGCAGGTTCTCAGAGCCTGGGATCCAGCCCAAGCCTGAACCTCTACCCTGCAATTAAACAGCCCCATAGCCTGAGCCCTATGAGCCCAAAGTCAGCTGACAAGGCCAGTCACAGGTGTTTAACTGCAGTGTAGACATACCCTATCAGGTTTACATTTTCATGGATCCTCAGAGAAATAATTTGAATGTTGAACTGTATTTTCAAAACAAGTTTTCCCAAGTTCCACAGCTAAAGAATTAGTTGAATTTTCTAACATTCAAATGAATACGAATCAGTATACTGTTTTTAAAAAGAAATGTATGTTACTTCTACAAGAGATTGTGATGAACAGGAACATGTGGATTACTTGAAAGATTTGAGCTTTAAGATTTGTTTTTAGTGCATTCTAAATATCGGGAAAATCTGTTTTAAGTGACCACAAGCAAGTATCAAACGCCTAAGCACTCAGCTACCACAATGGGGCCCTATACGGACCTAGATGAGATATAAGAGGTGGTTCTCAACTAAAGTACAGATTAGATTGGATTGGATTGTAAATCTCAGAATGATTTCAAAATGGTTAATAATGAAGTGAGGGCAACCTACTGGAAATGGTTGAGTGCAGGTTGCACTGTGTACAATTCTGATCCAAAATATTCATTACACAATAGGAAATAGAACTGGACTTCACCTCTATTTATATCAGCAGTGCAAAGGGGTCTCAGAACTAAACCACCCCCTGGGTCTAAAGGCGAGATGGCAGGAGAAAATGTTGCTATGTTCTGGCTCCAGTCAAGTTCCTGAAGGAGACGTGGGTCAAACATTGGTATGTCATCAGGCATCATGGCAGCAGGGGTTGCAGGAGGTGTACTGAAATCAAAACATAGATGCATTCTATAAAAAACATTTGAGATTGAGTTAATGTTTATACCCAGTAATCCTGGTAGCTACATAGTAATATGATTGTATGTTTATACCCTTATTCCAGCTATTTACACAGTAACGTGTTTTCTCTATGATGCAATGAGAAGTTAATGAAATTTAATCTCCTATTTACTTTATCAGCAGTTGTACTGTTTGAACTAGAACCTACCAGGATTTGGGGTTAAAAACAAACAATAAAAGTACATACTTTGAAGTTCCTTAATGCATGTTAAGTAAAGCCCATTTAATTTAATTTTTGTGCTAATGAATCAAACTTCTTATGGAATTAAGGTAACTAGAGCAGATTTTGTACAGTATGCTTAGCCTTTACACCCAGTTCAAAAAATCTAGCACTCCAAATAAAGAAGAAGAAATGCAAACTTCGCTACTGTACCTCAAAGCTATAGAGACTGCAATTTGGATAAGCAAAATTACACACTTTTTGCTGATAGAATTTTTTTTTCAACTATCCATTCAAGGCCACACTAGTAGTTTAAAATTTACAAAATCAAATGCAGTCTTTACTGAAAGGCGCAGGTTTTCACTGACTGTTTCACCACTTGGCTAGCACTGCCATGGTTACAGTGCGACAACTGTAAATGATTAAAATAGAATATGAGGGAAATGTTTGTTATTCAGTGGGTCAGGGGAGGAGAATAAAAAATGGGAAACAAGGGAAATTTTGCTGATTTCTTTAATCTAGAGGTACATTCTTTGTGTGTGTGTGTTGCTTCTGTAACTAGACTATCTGATGGGGTATATAAAATGAACTAGAACACAAAAGAGCGACTTCTGAGGCTAGATTTTCTCTTTTTTAAAAAGAGTCCTCTTTATCTATCTTCAGTTGAACCAAAAAGCCACCACTCTTCAATGCAAGATACAGTGTTCATATATACCACTGGACATGCCAAAGTAAACTAAGTTGTAAAACGTATTTTATTGGGATCCCTATATTTCAAAAAATGCCTTTTACATGAATTATAAGACAGTGCAACATCTCTGTAATTCTGTCTAGGGAAAAATGCAGAATGTGTTACGTATGAGGCATTTTAATGGAATCCAGAGCACAGAAGTGTCAGATCAGAAGGCAGCACTGTGAGTACAACAGGAAGCACTAAATATTTTCTCTCTACCTGCTGGTATATGATGACCTTTACATATACGCCCTTTTCACAAACACTGATATACTTAAATGAAAACATCTGCAGTGTATATCCCTTCTGGGTAAACGCTAACAGAAACTCTCCACCTACCTTTAAAAAAAAAATTGGAAGTAACACTGAACCTCTACTGAAGGATCTCACGGGACTATACAATCAAATTAAGCCTAGTACTCTTATGAGGTAGCTAAGTATTATCTTAATTTTAAAAGGTGGTGAAATTGAGGCACCAAGAGGTTAAGTGACATTCCCAAGGTCTCAGGAAAGCCAGGAATGGGAATGCAGGTTTTTTGATGCCCAGTCCTGGGCTTTAGTGACTAGACCATGCCAAAGTCTGCAGTGGACTTTCAAGCTATAATATGTGTTTGAATTACTCTAAGGCTGACAAGAACTAAGCCACTGTAATTCAAGCCATAGCTCTGATACCTCATATGATAGCTAATGTTATGTCGGACTAAATAAACCCGAGCATGCCTAGTTTTAGTTGCTGGATCATCCTATGCTGCTATTAACCTCTCTCTTTAAAAAGCTTACCCAGAACTCATGGCTGATCGTAAAATAATAGAGCTCTACTCAAACAATATTCTATGCAGAACAAAATTGGAAGTAATTTCAGTATTGTGTTAGAGAATGCTCAGAACACACACTGAAAAGAAATATTAGAGAAGAGAACACCAGGAAAATTAACATCTTTTCATTTAGTATTATTTTGATAAAGTAATAAACTGACTTATATAATTCAACGCTACAAGACACAAGGCTGGTTGGTCCCTGGGTTTCCTCTAGAAACCAATAGGAGCTTGGATCAATCCCAGCTCAGACTGGGAAGGAGTGCAGAGGACCTGTTCAATATCAGCACCCATGACAGTTTAAACAGACATGAATATGCTTTGAAAAAGTCCTGTCCTCCTTTGCCAAAGATGAGGGGCCTGGCAGGAAAGGGGCAGTCAAAAACTATTTCAGTGTACTGCAAACTAATTATAGGGAACTTCCACTTCTAAGACCACGTTCTGCAGTTGGGTACATGTGAGCAATGTCCAAGGAAGTCAAGTGAGCTGGGAGCCTACACCATCAGGAAGAGTTTGAACCACACTGAAGGTGTGTGGAAAAAGCATCCGATGAAGTGAGCTGTAGCTCACGAAAGCTTATGCTCAAATAAATTGGTTAGTCTCTAAGGTGCCACAAGTACTCCTTTTCTTTTTGCAAATACAGACTAACACGGCTGTTACTCTGAAACATGTCCTCACTGTAGCAACTCTGAGATGCCTGCCTCCTTCCACTCCCTTCTGACATCACTGTGCTGTGCTAGTCTCCAGGACACACCAGGGCAGATGGCAACAGAACTATGGTAGAATCTCAGAGTTACGCACACCAGGGTTACAAACTGGCCTGTTAACCATACACTTCATTTGGAACTGGAAGTATACTATCAGGCAGCACCAGAAACAAAAACAAAAAAAATGTAAATATAGTACCGTGCTGTGTTAAACATAAACTACTACAAAAATCAAGGGAAAGCAGCATTTTTCTTCTGCAAAGTAACATTTCAAAGTTGTATGAAGTCAATGTTCAGTTGTAAACTTTAGAAAGAACAACCATAACATTTTGTTCAGTTATGACCATTTCAGAGTTACGAACAACCTTCATTCCCGAGGTGTTCGTACTCTGAGGTTCTACCGTACTTAAAATTTGTATTCTCACAAATAGAGCCATTAGTCGCCATAGTTAATTAAACAAAGCCAGGAGGGGAGTGAACATCTCTTTAGAGGAGACCAGGCAGACCTCCCCTAAGGGAGAGCTGTCCAGGGATCCCAGCCACAGGTGAACGCTAGCTTAGTCTGCATGGAAAAGTTACAATGAAGTACACCCAGGGTCAGCCTTGGGCTAGGAGGAAAGAGACTTCTTTCCCCTACACTCTCATCCCCCTGTCCCCGCCACCATATCCCCCACTCTGCCTGCCCCACACACAGTCTCACCCCAGTCCCCACACATCAGGAGCCCCCTAGCCCCAACCTCCTTCCCAACCATGTGTTCCCCCAGTCAGCCCTAACCCCTGGATATTCCCTAATCCAGCCCCCCACCCACCCGGTATGCCCAGTCCAGCCCCCCTTCTCCCAACATGTGCCCCCTCAGCCCAGCCCCCATCCACTGTGTACCCGCCCCAGCCAGCACCCCCCCTTAAACTACTGTATCTCCCCAGACCTCTCCTCCCGTACCTCACACTGAACGTACCCCCCCCACCGAACAACCCCCCAACCTGGTCCCCCACAGAACGTGCCCCCCAACCCAGCCCCCCCATCGAACAACCCCCCCAACCTGGTCCCCCACCGAACGTGCCCCCCACTCCAGCCCCCAAACCAGATGTACCCCAACCCAGCCCCCCCCACCGAACAACCCCCCCAACCTGGTCCCCCGCAGAACGTGCCCCCACCCCAGCCTCCCCACCGAACAACCCCCTCAACCTGGTTCCCCGCAGAACGTGCCCGCCACTCCAGCCCCCAAACCAAATGTACCCCAACCCAGCCCCCCCACCGAACAACCCCCCAACCTGGTCCCCCACTGAACGTGCCCCCCAACCCAGCCCCCCCATCGAACAACCCCCCCCAACCTGGTCCCCCACCGAACATGCCCCCCACTCCAGCCCCCAAACCAGATGTACCCCAACCCAGCCCCCCCCCACCGAACAACCCCCCCCAACCTGGTCCCCCGCAGAACGTGCCCCCACCCCAGCCTCCCCACCGAACAACCCCCCTCAACCTGGTTCCCCGCAGAACGTGCCCGCCACTCCAGCCCCCAAACCAAATGTACCCCAACCCAGCCCCCCCACCGAACAACCCCCCCAACCTGGTCCCCCACTGAACGTGCCCCCCACCCCAGCCCCCAAACCAAATGTACCCCAACCCAGCCCCCCCACCGAACAACCCCCCCCAACCTGGTCCCCCACCGAACGTGCCCCCCACTCCAGCCCCCAAACCAGATGTACCCCAACCCAGCCCCCCCCACCGAACAACCCCCCAACCTGGTCCCCCACAGAACGTGCCCCCCACCCCAGCCCCCAAACCAGATGTACCCCATCCCAGCCCCCCCACCGAACAACCCCCCAACCTGGTCCCCCACAGAACGTGCCCCCCACTCCAGCCCCCAAACCAGATGTACCCCAACCCAGCCCCCCCCACCGAACAACCCCCCAACCTGGTCCCCCACAGAACGTGCCCCCCACCCCAGCCCCCAAACCAGATGTACCCCATCCCAGCCCCCCCCACCGAACAACCCCCCAACCTGGTCCCCCACAGAACGTGCCCCCCACTCCAGCCCCCAAACCAGATGTACCCCAACCCAGCCCCCCCCACCGAACAACCCCCCAACCTGGTCCCCCACAGAACGTGCCCCCCACCCCAGCCCCCAAACCAGATGTACCCCATCCCAGCCCCCCCACCGAACAACCCCCCAACCTGGTCCCCCACAGAACGTGCCCCCCACTCCAGCCCCCAAACCAGATGTACCCCAACCCAGCCCCCCCACCGAACAACCCCCCAACCTGGTCCCCCACAGACGTGCCCCCCAACCCAGCCCCCAAACCAGATGTACCCCATCCCAGCCCCCCCCCGAACAACCCCCAACCTGTCCCCCACCGAACGTCCCCCCACTCCAGCCCCCAAACCAGATGTACCCCAACCCAGCCCCCCCACCGAACAACCCCCAACCTTCCCCCACAGAACTGCCCCCCACTCCAGCCCCCAAACCAGATGTACCCCATCCCAGCCCCCCCACCGAACAACCCCCCAACCTGGTCCCCCACAGAACTGCCCCCCACCCCACCCCCAAACCAGATGTACCCCATCCCAGCCCCCCCACCGAACAACCCCCCAACCTGGTCCCCCACAGAACGTGCCCCCCACTCCAGCCCCCAAACCAGATTACCCCAACCCAGCCCCCCACCGAACAACCCCCCAACCTGGTCCCCCACAGAACGTCCCCCCACCCCACCCCCAAACCAGATGTACCCCATCCCACCCCCCCACCGAACAACCCCCCAACCTGTCCCCCACAGAACGTGCCCCCCAACCCAGCCCCCCCCACCGAACAACCCCCCAACCTGGTCCCCCACAGAACGTGCCCCCCAACCCAGCCCCCCACTAACTCCCCCCAACCTGGTCCGCCACCGAACGTGCCCCCCCCCCTCAGCCCAGCCCCCCCAGAACGTACCCCCCGGGGCGCTCACGCAGCGACGGGCGCGGGGCTCCAGCGGCCTCCCCCCAACGCCGGCTCCGCGCCGCACTCGCCGCACGGACGTGGCAGGGGCGGGGCCAACACGCAGGCGGACGCAGAGCCAATCCGCGGGCCCCGGCCCCGGGCCCCGCCCCGCGGGAACTCCGGGCAAAGCGCTGGGCGGCCCGGAGCCTGAGTGGGCGGGGCTGGGAGAGGAAAGCCCCTCCCCCCGGCGGGGGCGCCCCAATTCCTACTCGGGACCCCCCCCCGCGGGCTACCCCCATGGGGGCATCCCACTTCCGACAGAGACTCGGGGCCCCTCCCCCCCTGGGGAGCCCCTCCCCCCAGGGAAATCCTCCCCCCCCGACCTGGGGCTCCCAATCCCTACAGAGACTCGGGGCCCCTCCCCCTACGGGCTACCCCCAAGTGGGCACCCCCCTTCCTACAGAGACTTAGGGTCCTCCCCACCCACATGGGGCTCCCCTCCCCTTGGGAACTCCCCACGCACAAAACTGGAGCTCCCCCCCACAAAGACTTGGAGACTCACCCCACCCCACAGGGACCTCCCCCACAGCCACCTAGCGCTCCCCCCACCTCCATACAGATGTTCAGGTCCCTCTCCAACCACCCCAGGGGCCTCCACCCATGGAATCTCCCCCCCGGCTCTCTCCTGCCCCCCCCTCCGCCCCCCAGAGACTCAGGGTCCCTTGAAGGCCCCAGTTCCTGGAGTCCCGGCAATAAGTGAGAGGCTGAGCTGCTGTTACTTTGAATAAGGCCGATTTCTAGCCCTCTTGGGTGGGGAGAAAGATGTGGAAACATAACCCCTAAAGGCCTTGTAATCAGATTGCAAATGAACTGGACCCCGAGTCATTTCTCCTGTCTTTGCAGCTGATCCCACTGCTTTTTTGAGGGCCTGACTCAAAAGTGTTTGAGCACTTTGGATTAACAACACTGCATGGTCCACAGATGCACAAGAACCACAAGAACACACCACAGCCAGACCCTGGCATTGCTACATCTGTCAAACAACCCCACCCAAATCCAAATGACACATAAGTTGTGGAAGGGGGAAAGGATACTACAGCGATTAGGACACTAGCATAGGACTTGGGTTCAATTCCCTGTTCTGCAACAGACTTTTGTGTGACCTTGGCCAAGTCACTTAGCCTCTCTGTACCCCAGTTCACCATCTGTACAATGGGGATAATAGCGCTGCCCCACCTACCAGGGGAATTATGAGCATAAGCACATTAAAGACTGTGAGATGCTCAGATACTATCGTTATAGGGGCCATATAAGTATCTTAGGAACAAAACAGAAGTCTGAAAAGACAATACATAACCCCCTGGGAAGGGCAGGTGAAAAATTATAACAAACTACACTGCCACTGGACCCACTTGCTGATCCCTTCAGCACAATACAATCAGCTAGCAACTCTTCCCATGTATACAATTAGTGATCACAACCTGAAAATTAGAACTGGGCCGGGGTAGATATCTATACAAAGAGACTTTTTCTACTCTGCTAGCCAAGATACTCAGGTTTGCCAGAAGATAGTCCCTCAAGCCCTCAGAATTGCTTTTCCATCCAGAAGTGAGGAAGAAATACCATATGCAACTCTGGGAGAAATGAAAGCAACAGCCGATTGTGGCATGTAGGCATCTGCCTCACAACCAGGAATGGACATTAACAACAACTAGGCACAAGAGATAAACGCCCTTCCACATGCCACCGCCACCACCAACCTGGGCATTCCAGTGTCTCTAACCTGGGCAGATGATGTTTGATACATTGCATCTTCCTCCCCTGTCTGAGCTTTCCATCTTTTTTATAATTTGGCAATATTTGTACAGCTTGGCCTGCCAATAAAGATTTTTTATTGGATTTGATCAACCTCAGAAGGAGGGAACATAAAACCAAGGCCTGGGCCACTTGTGGACACTAAAAACCCATACGGCACCTTTGACATATAGAGTGTGCTTAAAACACTATGCTGGAGAAATTCCAGTTTGCAGTCACACACTGCCTCATATAATTCCCCTTGTAGCTTCACTTGATTACACTTTTCTTCATTTCCTGCTGTAAAATGTTGGGCATTTTTGGTGTGTAATGCTGAACAGCTGCTCTCTTTTTACTTCAGAGGTGGCTGCATGTCAGTAGGGGGTGATATGAATCCTATGTACAGAATATTCTATGTGTAAAATGGTTTGGGATTGTTCTGATTGAAAGCTCTATAGAAATGTTAATCGCCGCCATTAACGGCACAAGTGGCAGCTCTCATTACTAAAGCATCCAACTATTTTGAAATTTACCATCTTTAGATGCTTTCGGGTCTTTTAAATGCTTTCTAGCATCTATCTAGCATTTTCCTGTGATTTGTGCTCTACACTGAGGCCCTCTTAGGGCCCCAGGGATTTAGTAAGGGAGGGGGAATGAGGTTGGGACACTGGCAGACCAGGGGCTAGCTCTCGCCAAGGCTTAGGCTCAGCTGAGCACTGACAAATTCATTGCTGGAAACCAGTCTGTTTCACCTGTCTGTCAGAATGGTTAAGATGGGTGTTGGACTTATTTAGTTTTTAGACTTTATAAAATACATGTAAATTGCTGCATTCATTAATCTCTCAATTTCTTTATCATCTGCTGTAAGGTAATATTTAAGTTTTTGCATGGTAACTGTCAACCCAGTCAAAAGAGATCATCTCCTGTTCATCGAGAAGACCTATCAAAACTAAATTGGCCATCGTGGGGCATCACAATACAAAGACTTTATTAATTACCCCCTTGCACCCATAAAGAGGCTAGGTCCCCTCAGCTTGAATTCTGGAAGAAAGAAATAAAAATAGCTGACAAGAAAATGTGTTATCTCTTTCGCTGTTTGGACTCTCCCCGGGCTGGAGCTTCAAAACAGGCCTGGGTTAGCCATAAAATACATTCAGAGCTAACAGCTTACTTTTACTCAGTCACCTTTTAAACCTGTAACTGTCACTCATCTGTGTATATATGTTGCCTGCTTTAACCTTGTAATAACTCTCTCATTTCTTTTCTTAAATCCTTACATAGTTTACTATAGAATTGGCTGCAAGCATCGTCTTTAGTCTGAGATCTAAGGTGCAAACTGACTTGGGCTAAGTGACTGGTCCTTTGTGATTGGGACTAACCTGAATAGTGTTGTGATTTTTGGTGTAAAGTGACCAACTATCACGAAGGGTATGTCTACAACATGAAATTAGGTCAATCTTATAGAAGTCTATTTTTAGAAATCGATTTTATACAGTCAATTGTGTATGTCTATACTAAGCGCACTAAGTCGGCGGAGTGCGTCCTCACTACCGTGGTCAGCATCGACTTTTGGAGCGTTGCACTGTGGGTACTATCCCACAGTTCCCGCAGTCTCTGCTGCTCATTGGAAGTCTGGGTTGAGCTCCCAATGCCTGATGGGGCAAAAACATTGTCGCGGGTGGTTTTGGGTACATGTTGTCAGTCGCCCCTCCCTCCGCGAAAGCAAGGGCAGACAATCATTTAGTGCCTTTTTTCCACGCAGATGCCATACTGCTGTCAGCAGACGGTGCAGTAGGACTGCTAACTGCCGTAGTCATCCACCACTTCCACTGCAACTCTGCTCTCCTGGTGCCATGAATCCACCTCACAGGTCCTCTTGTCATTCTGTATAAATATCTATTCTCGTAGCATCCGTCGTCATCCACCGCTTCCGCTGCAACTCTGCTCTCCTGCAGATGCCATACCACGGCAAGCATGGAGCCCGCTCAGCTCACCGCTGCTGTTGTGAGCATTGCAAACACCTTGCGCATTATCCTGCAGTATGTGCAGAACCTGCAAAAGCAGGCGAGGAGGCGACGACAGCGCGATCACGATCGTGATGAGGACATGGACACAGATTTCTCTCAAAGCACGGGCCCTGGCAATTTGGACATCATGGTGGTAATGGGGCAGGTTCATGACATGGAACGCCGATTCTGGGCCCAGAAAACAAGCACAGACTGGTGGGACTGAATAGTGTTCCAGGTCTGGGATGATTCCCAGTGGCTGCAAAACTTTCGCATGCGTAAGGGCACTTTCATGGAACTTTGTGACTTGCTTTCCCCTGCCCTGAGGTGCATGAATACCAAGATGAGAGCAGCCCTCACAGTTCACAAGCGAGTGGCAATAGCCCTCAGGAAGCTTGTAACGCCAGACAGCTACCAGTCAGTCAGAAATCAATTTGGAGTGGGCAAATCTACTGTTGGGGTTGCTGTGATGCAAGTAGCCAATGCAATCACTGAGCTGCTGTTATCAAGGTCAGTGACTCTGGGAAATGTGCAGGTCATACTAAATGGCTTTGCTGCAATGGGGTTCCCTAACTGTGGTGGGGCGATAGACGGAACACATATCCCTAACTTGGGACTGGACCACCTTGGCAGCCAGTACGTAAACCACAAGGGGTACTTTTCAATGGTGCTGCAAGCACTGGTGGATCACAAGGGATGTTTCACCGACATCAACGTGGGATGGCCAGGAAAGGTGCATGACGCTCGCATCTTCAGGAACTCTGGTCTGTTTGAACAGCTGCAGGATGGAACTTACTTCCCAGACCAGAAAATTACTGTTGGGGATGTTGAAATGCCTATAGTTATCCTCGGGGACCCAGCCTACCCCTTGCTCCCATGGCTCATGAAGCCGTACACAGGCACCCTGGACAGTAGTAAGGAGCAGTTCAACTACAGGCTGAGCAAGGGCAGAATGGTGGTAGAGTGTGCATTTGGATGTTTAAAAGCTCGCTGGTGCAGTTTACTGACCAGGTTAGACCTCAGCGAAACCAATATTCCCATTGTTATTGCTGCTTTCTGTGTGCTCCACAATATCTGTGAGAGTAAGGGGGGGGGAATTTTATGGCGGGGTGAGAGGTTTAGGCAAATTGGTGGCCAATTACGCATAGCCAGACACCAGGGCAATTAGAAGAGCACAGCTGGGCACACTGCACATCAGAGAAGCTTTGAAAACCAGTGTTATGACTGGCCAGGCTACGGTGTGAAAGTTCTGTTTGTTTCTCCTTGATGAAAACTCGCCCCCTTGGTTGACTCTATTTCCCTGTAAACCAACCGACCT